GGGGGGGGGGGGGGGGGGGAAGGGTTCAATGGAGTGAAAGTGCGGCTTCATTGCGTAAGGGAGCACGAGATTCTCCCCCCTTCTCCATAGTCTGACTTGCTACTCCAAGCCCTGGGGAAGTTTTTCGCTTCACCCCTGAAAAAAAAGGGGGAGGAAAAGAAAAATGCCGGGAGGGCGGGTGCTTCCGTTAGACGAAGCGTCAATGCCCGGCCTAGTGAACGGGCCTGGTATGGCGGGAACACTGAGAATGGACTCGTCCGGAATCCCTGGGGTCCTTGACCGTGGGATTCGGACGGAGGGACTCTCTCTTTCCTCTCTCATTCTCCCTTCCCCCCTTCAACTTCATGTACAAATAAGTGTGTATACTACGAATCATTTCCTTCCTTTTCCTCTTCTCCCATCTGCTTCTTCGCTTGTGGTTTCTCTCCCTTCCCTTTGGCCACACACGCACACAACAGTTTTTTCCCCACGTCTTGCGACCGTGAAGGAAGGAACGAACGAGATGGCCTTCACCATTCATGGACGGTCGGTAGGTCTGGAGGCTTTGTGGATGTAAGTGTACTGTACGTGTAGTCTCTTTCTCTTCCTCTCCTTCGTGGATCACACCGGCAAGTAGAATGAAAGGCAAGGAGGCCACTTTCTCGTTTCATCCGGGTTCTGCGGGTCTCTGTTCTTGTCCTGGATCCAGTCTTTTTTTTTCCACCCCCCTTCCACCGTCTTGTATTCGTTATACGGATGTGGCGGGAGGTTTTTGCCTGGGGGGGTGGAGGGGGAATTCCATAGTATGTGTGGGTTCATTGAGTACGAGCCGGGTCTGAATGTACGCCGTCGTTACCTGGCGATTTTTATCTCAGAATCCCGACTCGCACATGCTCCGTGTCTGAAAATGCTCCTCAAAGCTCTTCACGGTGATGAACTTTAAAAAGTCCATGCTTCCGTCGTGTTTGTATCGTGAATATTTTCAACTCTTTGTCGCCAAGGGAAACACGTTTCGTAATGCTTAATCAGTTAAGAGTTTTCCTCCCGTCATTGCTGTCGATAATAGATAACCCCTCATTGTGGATGGAGATGCGAGGTTACGCAATCGTGTGTAGGATTTCTCTCGTTTTGTGTGGTTTGGGTATCAAGTTCGTGATGGCAATAGTGGGAAGGCCCTTGTGCCCGGAAGGAGCCTTGGTTGGAATTTCGTGCTTTCGGCCAAGGTCGTTCGTGATCTGATGCAAGCAGGTATAACACTCACAGCCGCACAATTCCCATTCTCTATTTTCATCTCTCGAGATCGTCCACGTGGAGGGTCTTGGGAACGTTATTCCGCTTGGATGGCATTCTCCGAGCCACACATGACTGGGTCTCCCTTGCACGCCATGACCAGTTGCACAAGTGGGTTAGGCCCAGGCCTAGCCAGTGTTCACTATCCTCTTTCCCTTCGAGATCCTCATCTCTGGCTGTTCCATGGAAGGAGTTTCTTGAGCGAGTGAATGGAATGGGTGAACATGTGCGTGTGTGTATGTGAGTTGGTATGCTAGGAATACTCGGAATCTGGGAAGAGCCAGCCATATCATACCGTTATGGCCCCTGACACGCTTGGCTGAAGAAGATGCTACTTTTATTCGATTTTTCTGAAGTTATTCTTCCATTAGATATATTCCGGTAAAATAATTATTTTTGCCAGTTTGAGACTTGATGACGTTGTTCCATTATTTTCCATTCCGTGTTACGCCTTTCGATGGAATATGGGTAAAGTACGATAAGAAAATAATAGGAAGTCCGTGACAAAGGGTGCAGGGTCCTTGGCCTAAATGATGCTGCGAAGTCTCGTATGGGAAAGAGTTGTTCTCTTGCCCTTCGAGGGCACCCTTCCTTCCCCAAAGGCCATTCCCAGCCTTAGGTCCCCCTGTAAGATATGGCATGGTATTGATTCCCTCGTGTCAAGCCACAACAGTGTCATTCTGATGACGACGTCCATTTTCATTCCCATGAGAAAGGTCAAGACTTGACATGACACCCTAGGGGGGGGGGGTGATAGTGTTATCCTCGTGGAAACTTCACCATTTCACGCTTACTCGAGCATGGCATGTCTGGTGAACTCGATCTCACGTAGATTGCTTTGGTCAGGACCAGTCCTCTATCGGAATTTCCGTGGCTGTTCCTCCAAGTTCACACTTTGTCATCCGATATTGGATGCCCATTAATTAGCAGTACTATCAGAATTAGTATTTGCATAATATTCTACATAGATTCATGCATCAGAAGTTTCACTTATAGTTTATCCGAGTTGTCCGAATTATCCGAGTGCCGAAGGCGTTATAGTTTGCCAACCTAGCGATCTGACATGGATTTAAATTTGTGCAAGGTAGTTTCCAAAGATCCTTGACACCATGCCTGAATCAGATATACCACGAGAGCCACTACGCAAGGAACTATACGTGAGTTGTCTCTCCTTTTCATTTATTCGTTACTCTGTTAATTTTCTTGCTTTGAATGATGAAAAAATCATGACGGTCTTCTGAACTGTGTATTTGAGGAGAATCTTATTTTTGTAACTGACAGTTTGCATTACTTATCAGTATGATTCTTGAAGAAATAACCTACTTATCTTCAGTAAGTTTATTGTTCTACGCATGTTCCAGGAGAAGGGTACGCAGGTGTACCCGGGGGTTACTCTGTCAATCAGACGCCACCCCCATTGTTTCGACAGCAAGGTGGAGTCGCCCAAAACGTGTCTGCAAATGATATGAGCAAGCAAGCCATTCATTCCTCCCAGCCCCCTCTTGGTTAGCAAGATTGTTTTTCATGCTGCAAAAAATTCTCGTTTTATGAACGTGAATAAAAGTTTGGTCATGTTTTGCTCTAGGGAACACCCCAAATCAATTTTCAACACAACCACCTGGATCAATGATGTTCAATCAGAGGCAGCCTGGACCACGAACACATGCCCATCCCCAGGTATTAACAATACTATCAGTATTTGTGTATAAGACTCTCTTTGAACTCTGAGGTCAGTGTTCATTTTCCTTGCATCAACAGTTTTATCCATCGGCAAATGGGGCACCACGTCATCTGCAACCAGGACCACAGGTCCAGCAGATCAGAATGAATCATCAGCAGTTGTCTGCATTCAGTATGGCGGCTGGATTGCCATACGGACTGCCAGGGACTAACAGTGGGCCTCAGGTCACTCTCATTCCTGCCCCACAAATCCCTGTCAATGTGAGTCTTCATTCATCCTGACTTTGCATGACATTTCATTGGGTTGTTATTATAAGAGGTATTCTAAGTATCAAGTAACTTTGAAAGTTTAAGATGGTTTTTCCCTTTGCATGGAAAAAATCATTTTTGGCCTTCCTGGATGAGAAGTTATATCAAAAGGCATACTAAATCAAAAATTTTAAATGTTTATTTAAAGAAAAAAGCTGCATTATTAAAGGCTTCAAATCTGTTGATCCCTTAAGTTTTCAAATTTAAGTTCGGAGAGGAAGAAAGCCAGAAAGGGTGGTTTTTCTTTCATGATGTTTATATTAAAAAAAATTAAATGCAGGAAAGACAAAGAACATTAATTAGTAATGCTTAGTGACAGAGGGGAGCTCCATTAGTACTGTCTTTTGATTAGTTTCTGCTTTGTCTCAAAGATGTGCATGCCAAAAAATTCTATAATTGAGGATTAAAAAAAAAAAAAGGAAATGCCAAAGGCATTCTCAAGTAATGAGGCCTTTGGAAGGATTGCTCCTTCAAAACCAATCTAATTTCTTGTCCATAAATGGCAGTGTTAATTATCTACCCATTCACAATATCTTGGGTTAGTAGGGTGTTTTTAAAAAGCTTACAGAAGCATTGGCACTTTATTTCACTTAGTGGATCAGGATGCTTGGATTCTATGACATAATCCTAAGCAATATAGTAATTGACATTCATGATAACGAAAAGTAAGTATTTGCTCCTAGCATTTGATTGATTTATTGATATGAACTTCACTTTATTGGCAAAAAATTACAGGAGATCTACACTAATGCTTGGATTATACTAACTGAGATTGGTAAAATCATGCACTTATCTCACTTTTGTCTTGTGTGCACTTATGTCATACATCACAGGACTGAGTTTACCCAAGTGGGTGAAAATCCAATTTGAACATGTATGATAGAGACTGGCACTAAAGACCTGTAGTAGAAATGTTTTGCAACTCTCCTTGCAAAGTTGGAAAGATTGTCAGAAAATTGTATAGCTATTTTATAAATTCAGAATGTCATTTCTCAGTTGATGTTGGCAATTTTGATCAATAGCATTGGAAAGTTTCAGATTTTACTTTATGATTTTGGGGAATTGAATGCTGAAAGTTTTAATTTCCACTTCAGGATTACCTGAAGGAAAAGTTTAACATTGCTGCGTCATCTGTATCTTTTTGTGTTCAACAAACATGAAATATATTAATTATTTTATTCTCATAAATGTTGGACCCTGCTGCTGTATAAATGTATATGTAGATCTAGAATGCAAATTGAGTATTATTTTATATTAGAGGGAGATAGGGTCCATTTGCTGGAAAGTAGTAAAAAATGAAATGGAAATTCAAATGAATATGAACGTTTCTTCTAGGTTTTAAATAATTTTAGCTAGAAATAAAGATTGCGTTGTTTAATTTGAAGCTTTGTAAAGTCACAGTGAAATAGTAATGGTGTGTTCTGCCGCCGATGTCGGTCAAGTAGTTTTCTTTAACCCCTTCTCCGGTATCCCTGAGAAATTATTGGGCTGACTTGTGCCCAAGGTTAGCTTGTATCTCGAAATTCACGAGGGAAAGGATTGAAGCCCTTGCGCTAGAGGCAGCCGCGTTGTCCTCACTCACAAATCGTTTCAGGTGATTGTCATTTCGTAATTCTGAAATCTAATCCCGTTCATCAATGAATGCAACCCAACTAACATCGTCTTTTTGCGTCGCAAATGTTAAAAATAGTACGTCACCCAAATAGTAAGCATGAACGAACGGGATCGATCGTCCCGTTGTGAGAGATTAGACGTCAATGAAAGGTGCTGTCTCTGCTCTCGAGAGCCCATTTACGAATGACGTAAACATCGTAATGTGTGTATACATGAGATGAGAGGGAAAGGCGAATGAGATGACGTTGAATGAGACAGGAAATAGATGCCGCTGGCTTGCACAGGCGAGGCCTACGCAGCACCAAGTAGAATCCTGTATTGCGGAGGATCTGTGAGAGTTTCCACAGTTGGTGCTTGGTCATGTCTTGCGGGTGCCAGAGTAGGGCTCCATTTTATGGCTGACGTCACTCCGCCACGTGTGTCGCAGAGAGAGGAGTGTGAGCGCCGTTCTAGGAAAAAGGATAAGCGCAAATGCGCGCGCCTTCCCCCCTCCTTCCTACTGCCTACGTTACTTCGTCGCCGCTTTCATTCCCATTACGAGCCGCCTAACACCAAGGCTTTACCTTGTGTCTCTGTACTTTTCGTGTTTCATTGCGTTCCTCCCCATCTTTTAAGCCAGACCTTCCGATATTGTCGCCCAGTGCGGCGTGGCAATCCTTACGGGAACCGGAAATCGATAAGGATGAACCAATAGGCCTGCGGTGGATCAGCGACAGCTGTTGAGAATGCGACAACTTTATCTCGTTTCTCTATCCTCTCCTTCCAGATTGCACAACCCTGACTGCGAGAGTCCTATAGATTCAGCCACCCGCAACAGTTTTCTGTCGACGTGTCAGCCTGTGATCATATTGCTCTGTGTGGGACCTGTTGGTTTGCAGTAGTACGCTGTTACATATCAGTGTTCCAGCTTCGAACGATTGTAAAACACCACATAGGACCATACGTTTTAAAACTTAATATATATTGGAGTGATAGTTGAAACTTGCTTCGTTGGTATCTTGATTCTGCTGAGAAACCCCAGGTGTAATGGCAAGTGGCTTGCCATAAATAACCCAGATCAGCTGCAGCCATGTATTCCTCTTACATGATATCTCAGGTAGCCTGTCTCGTGGGGATTCCCCCATATTTCTCAATTTGTTTTGTGTGGTGACTGAGGTCTCAGGTGCTCAGTTCTCTCCTGGTTCCATGTAGATGGCAGTGATGGATATTGTCAAGCATGAAAATATACTGGAATCTCATCTTTTCCAGTTTGGTGGTGCAGGAGCTCGGCAGCATCTGCCCAATCCAGGAGGCTTTCCTTCGGCATCAACATTTTTATTCAATCCCACTCCTCGGTTTCAACAGCAATGTGAGTGAACTGATGTAACATTTACTTGTATCTTTTGTTAATGAACTTCATTGGGTCTTTGCTGCTTCTGCCAGCATGTAGCTAATATGGGCTTCTCTTTTCTTTTGCTGCAGATGCACTCTACCCCCCTCAGAATGTGATATATCAAAACCAGATACAAGCACAGGCAGGGCTGACCATGAATGCAACACAGCAGCAAGTCCCCCCTGGTGCTGCTTCACAGGCTCCTCCTGTTCCCAGTGCTCCAAAGGAGGTTCAACGACACAGAAACCGACTGGCTATCATTGACCCAGAGACAGGTCGCAATGTCCTTGATGATGTTGAAAGTGATAATGCAGCTCAGCGTGGGATTAGCACAATTGATGGAGCTGCTTCAATCCCCTCAAGTGAAATGCAGCAGTCTCTCAGGGATTCTCATTCTCGGGAAACTCCAATCTCGGTATGTTAAGTCGTCAATTGAAATAGCTTCTATTGGCCTAATGTGGATCAACTTTGTCATATTATGCAATCCTTAAATTTGGTGTTGTGAGGTAGTTTTGAATGGTAATGTGCAATCTCCAATAAACCTTTAAACAAACTTAGTTCCTGTTCAAGATTTTTGTCAATACTGGTAACCCTAGACCTAAGTCTAGGTAAAGACTTGAGAGGAGAGTAGTTAGTTTTAGTGGACCATTCTCATAATAGACGTTACTGTAAGATTGGAAAAGAATTTACATTATTGTATTTTTGATTGTTGCATCTAAAGAATCCAGGTTTGAATTGTGGGAGATCCAACAATTAGTAGTGTGACTTGGTGATAGTTTCAGGGATACTTGCTTTCTTTTGTAACTGTAAAAAATATTGCACAAACATTCTTTACTCCCATAATTCATGGAAACAGGATCATTTGGAGTTTTATTTTGGTACTATTCTTAGGGTATTGAAGGTTATGGGTACCAGTATGCCTATTTATTAGAATTACCTGAAGCTTTATGAAGATGGAAGTGGCCTGCATTGCTGTGACCTGTTTTCCAGGAAGGAGAGGTGGTGCAAATGAGTGAAGGGAATGATGTGCCTGCCCAGTTTGCTACTCAGGTGGCACAGGCAGCTCTGGGTTCAAGACCTATGGATTATGAGAAGCCTGGGGCTGAAGCAGGAAGGGGTGCTCTTACATCCACTATCTCTAAGGGAGTGGTGGAGCCACCTCCTCCGTCCAGATCCCCTTCTCACGTGGTCATGCCTCCTGCTTCAGAGAGTGAAGGTGAGACGAAAGTGTCGGAGGATGTGCCTCAGTCTCAGCCTCAGCTGCAGCCAGATGCTAGGATATCAGAGCCCAGCAGTAGCCCAGTGACACCTGAAGTGACTTCAGCAAGTGACATGCCAGAACCTGAGAATATTGAAACAGAACCTCCAAATGAAGAAGTGGAGCCTCTGAAATCAGAAGAACTTATAAATTCAGAGGATCCTCTGAAACCAGAGGTCTCAGAGGTGATTCCAGATGAGCCTGCTGTCCTTGCAATGCCTGAGCCGAAAGTGGAGGCTCCTAAGACTCCAGAGCCTGAACCTCCACAACCCGAGATTGAAGAAGCAGATGCTAGCATAGCTGATGGTATTTGTTGGCTACTTTGCTGTTTTACTTCTTGGTTCTCTCTCTGCATGTTTGGTATTGGTTGTAGATGGTCTGGCTTCTGTAGGCTGGCACAGAGGCAGGCATGCTCTATGCTATTAATCTTCTTGCTGTCCATTTCATGTAATACCCTCTGGTAGAAGATAGAGTGGCCATGTTTGCATGCAAGGCTGCTCTATTTTTAAAGTAAATCTTATGATGATTGTGGTTGTTAGGGTACTTGTCAGGTCATCCTTTGACTATTGTCGGTGGAGTTAATTTGGCCAATAACTTAGAATACAAGTATCCCTTCTTATCCAAATGGCTTTCATGATGGGTTTATTGTTTAAACTGAACTACTTATGAGGTTTGTTGGTGAATACAGGGCTAAACATGGGGATGTGGGTCAGGGTCCCTGGGTTTCATCCTTCATTGAACTGTGACCCCATGAGTTTATTGAATTCTTTAAATGATTAGGTTATGATGATATATTACATGACATCCTCAAAGCAAGTGGTTGTTGCTTAGATCTAGATCAGTTAACTCATTTTTTGGCAGATTTAACAATGATTTTTCTTAACAAGCACAAGTTGATGGCAATGCATTTCCATGCATTGAAGAATTTCAATATTCTCATTCATTCTCAACTTTCTTGGACCAAGTGACTCCTTCCAAAAAGATGAAAATTTCAGTTGTACCTCTCCCCCATCGTGGTCTTGACTTACTCCCTGCTAGTTGCCTTGTTCACAATAAATTTGAAATGGAAATGTCTGCATCATAGTTGTTAGAATCGAAAATCTAAGGTATTCTGAAAGAAACAAAAGTGCACATATTTCTGTTAGCCAGAAAATAGTGTTTTCCTGGGAAGGTGTTCAAGTCAGTACCCTTTATCTTGAATTAACCTTGTGATTCTAGGAAATGGGAAAGTGTTAGCCAACTCTGGTCTCAGGTGGAGGATTCTGCCAAAGAAAGTAGAAAGTCACACCTCCCAACTACTGGTGCAGCATCAGTATTGCTGCTGCTTGCCTCTTTAGAGTGGACTTGAGCCCTTTTGTTATCATTTCTTTTTTTTAATAATCCCTAACGGGGTGTTTGGCTTAGTAGTATCATCTCCATGAAAGAAATTTGTAGTTGATTTTTTAATTAAATTGCATGAATTCTTGCTCAGGATAGCCTGCCTTCTTTTTCCTCTTTGCTGGAAATCATGATGGCTCTGGAGCAACTATTTTTATCTCCTTAATATTTTTATAAGGAATTTCAGTGATGGATGGATTGGGCAATAAGGTGTTTTCATCCCTGAAGGTAAAACAAGAAATGCAGATGCACCAATAATGTCTAGTTGGCTTACAGAAGTATGGCTTCTGCAGCTGAAGATATTGGTTGGGCCAAAAAGGCTGAGCAGATTTTTAAATGTTTTTTATGGAAAAGAAAAACAGCAAGAGGAAACATTTGATTGTATCATTTGAGGAAAAGGATCTCATTGAACATTTATGTTCTTTAATCCTTTGAGGAGTGGTTTTTTTAACTCCTAGAAGTTCACCTGTAGTAAATACATGGAGGGCAGGGGGATGTCAGCCCATATATATACAGGCATACTCGTCAAAGGGTTAAGTTGAGGCTTTCGTACAGTTTTCCAGAGTTTAGGATTTCCTCACTGCTTTTCTCCAGGAATGGGTGGTTCACTTTTATAGGCCCAAAGATAATCCAATTTGACCCAAATGGACTTTTTGTTTAGGGTCATGTGATATCAACTGGAGGTATGTTGGGAAACAAAATCAAGGATAGATTCTTACTGGCTTAGTCTCTGGACTGGCTCCATTGGGCTTCAGGTTGTAATTCATTTACCCATCACCAAGTTTTTACTTGAGTTTGGGAAGCACACAGACCAGCTGACTTTCGGGTACACCCTGAAGTTGTATATGAACATATTTATGTTTCACATAGAAAGTAGTAGAAGGGTTAGAAATACTTATTGTGTTTTCTTCTGTAATTTGGGTTCATTACCTTTGCACACTTGAAATTGATTAGGGACTGCACTGTAATGCCTGGTGTGTAAAAGTCAAACTTGTCATTGAATGCAGTGCGATTCAAAAGTAGCTTTACAATTTCCATGACTTATAACTTCATGTGCCTTCCTCAGCCTAATGAAAGTGGTATTAAAACAGGTATAAACCTCAAGTTTTATTACCTGCAATTACCACTATTCAATGTGACTACCAAAAATGACGGCAGATATCCTGGCAATACTCACTCATTCCATACACGTTACAGTATGTCTGTAACTGTTGCAGTGGCCACAGTGATACTTTCTTCATTTCTAGCACGTTTGATAGCAGTGGTGACTGATATCAAGGACCTCGTCCTTGATAATAATAAAAAAAACCGCAAGAAAAAGTCAGTGAAAAAAGTCTCGTTCTCACGCCGTTTGACTTTTTCTTGTGATGTTTGGAGACTTTTTTCACGTTTTTTTTCACTATTTTTCTTGCGTTTTTAAAAATATTAATTTAATTATTATCGGGGGCGAGGTTTGCCAGCCGCCGCTGCCAGAGTTACACCGGACATACTGCAACGTGTATGGAATGAGATTAAGATATCTGCCACGTCACTTCTGGGAGTTACAATGAGTTGTCGTAATTGCAGATAATAAAACTTGAAGTTTATACCTCTGTTTCGATACCACTTTCGTCGCGCCGGGAAGAAGGCACATGAAGTTATAAGCCACGGAATTTGTAAAGCTACTTTTGAATCGCGCTGTATTATCTGTTTAATATATTGCCACATGACACATCGCAATTTCAACCTGCGTCTTCGTGATACCATTTTTGTGATAATATCTCGGATGGATATTGATTGAGAAGCCATCTAGGCAGCGAATAGTTTTTTTTTTTTTTGCTTTTTAGTTTTAAAGAGCATTCGAAGACGGAAATAGTGAGGGGGATCTGAAGGTTGGGAGAAATGGAGAGGTCTGGAATCCCCACTCATCACGACGTGGCAGAGCTGTCCGATTATCAATGGGGGATGGAAAGCTTTGGCCCGGAGCCAAGGTCTGGGTGCCACGTTTCCCCATGGAACAGGCCGCTGGTGGGGGGGACTAATATATTATCAAAACAGATGGCGCTAGCTCCTCCGGTTTATGTAAAATAATCCGCGGCGGGTCGTCCTTCGCTCTGTCCAGTGCCCCCTACGTGCACCCCTTTACGCGTCGCACCCACTTCAGTTCTCATTCAATGCGCGGACTAGTCGGTAGGTGGTTCGTGTGGTCGCATCGTGTATGGAGGCGTGGCGTTGCGCAAGTGACTTGACATTCAGAACGAGTGGAACGGGGAGGGGGAGGAGAGCGAATGCGTCACTTGCCGGCACGACTTGGCCCTGTGTGGCCGCATCCCGCGTGAATCTCTTACATAATGTGAAGTATTTTTCGTTGGGGTTTTTTGAGTCGTTTTCGGACCTGTGCGTTCAAAAGGTAGGTATATCTGGGCAAGAATGACGGAATGTGTGGCCTACGAGGGCCCGCCGAGGTACCCGCGTCGGGAATTCCGCCGTCGACAAGGTTGGTCTAGCAACGATTGCGCAAGTACTGACTCTCGGTTATCCAGTCCACTTTCACTTCCATCTCGGGACTGGCCTCCGTTGGGATTACATGCATAGATGGGCGTAGGGACGTTGTTTACTGCTCTCTGCCCGGGTGTCCTTGGTTTAGACTTTAGTAGAGCCTGCCCCGCTGATTCAGCCGAGATTGTACTCCTCTCCTCTTTTTCCACTGCACGTAGCTATTAATAGACCCACGGAGGCTTCCTTCTCTTCTTGGATGGTGCCAAAGCACCCTCAAATGGTGCCCACTCTACCCTGTCTTATATATAAACATAATGCTGTCTTGGAAATATGATGCGTAGATCATCGTTGGGGCCCGTGTCGGAATCGTCTTGATAAACGACAGGTATTCCAAGTTGTTCATCTTTGTACACCTGGCCCTGAGTGTCTTGATGCTCAATTGATTGGGAACAGATAAATCTTAAGGTGTCTGCAATGGGAGCACTTGCAAGGTCGTATGGGGTGGAAGGACCATGACCGACTTCTGAGTACTGTCATGAAGGATAGATTTCAGTATTGCATGATTCGTTAATATCTTGATTAATTACTTTATCATTCCTGGAAAAGGCTGGATAATGTCTCATCCTAGAGCTTATTTCACTATTGCATGGTAACTTCTGATAGAAAAGTTTCAGTGACATTGACATTCATATGAGATCCTTAAACATTCTATACTATTTTTGAACAAATTTTTAATCACTTCAAACTTTGAAATTTCTGGGTGTTGATTATCTGATTTCAATAGTTCAGAAGTGTGCATGTCAATGCAGTAGCAAGTTGCATCAATTTGCATTCTAATGCATGCAAGCATGTTAAGTTTGATGTAAATAAGACATAGATCCTTGTGTGTGATGTAGGCGGAAAGGCAACCCAGAAGCCGAAGAGTAAGGCAAAGCAAAAGCACAGGGAGCTTAATCAAAAGTGGGAAGAGAAGAGAGGTGATGTGATGGAAGGAGATTTGGATGCCTTCGTGACAGTATCTCCTGTTGCTTCCCCATCACCCCCTGTTCCTTCTGCACCAGCTCCAGCCTTGGAATCAGGGCCTGTGAATGATCTACACTGCACAAAGGTATGTTTCCATCTTCTTGAGAAAATATTTCCAAATATCAAGAATGTCTATGGAGTTTGAGAAGAAAATGGCAGGTGACCATTAAATAAGTTGATATGATGCAGTATTTGCACTGCCATGTTCATTTTCACATTTCAATATGTTGACTTGTATTTTTTCTCATGGTTTCTTTCTGAAGACCTCATGTCTTTTTGGGATAGATGGTTTTTGAAGCAGTTTTTTTCTTTATGAAGCTGGTATGTTCCTTGTAAGGTGCTGTACAATCATTATTTATTAATAGTACATTATTAAAGAAATTAATTGCACAGGCAGTTTTTTCTCCTTTCACATACTGGAGAAGGATAGGGTGCTGTAGAACTTCCTAATGACTTTAATTGTGTGGGTCTGCTATAGTCCTGTCAGTAGGGTTATTTGGAGCAGTTCCTGTTTGTACTGGAAGAGTAAATTTTGGTAGGAAGTACAGGGTGTCCCAAAAGGTATGGAAATATTAAAAAAATTAATATCCCTCTAAATTATGCCTCAAAGAAAATGATTATAACAGTAAAATGAAGTGCAACTCGAGCATTTTTCAACCTGCTATTGCAATTCCACAAGGGCACCATTTGTGATTCTGTAGATGTCTAAGCGATGTTCGAGCTCTTACCACACCTTTTGCAGTGTTAGGCATAACTATCATGATAGCTTTGACGATTCTGTTCTTTGGATCTTGATCGATTGTCTACTATTCTCCAGTAAGCTATGTCCTTGACATCGCTTACTGGAGAATAGTAGACAATCGATCCCAAGACCACAAGAAAAAGTCCTCTCTAGGGTTAGTTTGGGTGATCCATGGAATGAACCTGCTTTGTCCAATCCGCAGATTTTGGTTTTTTTTCCCATGCCTTAGCTTGCTAAAATTTGGAGTTGCAACATCTTAGAAAATTAGACTTTATTGTGCCTGAACCCTTCCCTCTTGGATTTTTTTTTTTCTTTTGGGGCTATGTCAAGGACATTGTCAACTTTTTTTGAGTAAACAATCTCCAATCTGATGAACAGAATTGTTGCAGCTATCCAGACAGTTATACATGACACTCTATGTAAGTTGTGGTAAGAGCTTGAACATCGTTTGGATGTCTACAGAGTCACAAATAGTGCCCATGTGGAATTGCAATAACAGGTTGAAAAATGTTTGAGTCATTCTCTGAGTCTGAGTCTTCATTTTACTGTTTTCATCATTTTATTTGAGGTATAACTTAGTGAGATATTAATTTTGAAATGTTTCCATACCTTTTGGGACACCCTGTATAGGGTACTGCACTACTGTCACATGTTTTACAAAAAATGTGGAAGTTCTGTTGGCTGTTGGTTTTCTAGAAAATGATATTAATTTAATTTAAAAATATATAAATTGAGCACAAGTAGGTCATATAAGTGTGACTATCAACTGAAGTTGGGATACTATGTTTAAAGATGTGCTAGCCATCTGACTCAGAGCTTGTCATCTTAGGCTGAACTAGAGGATGAGCTTGAGGAAGGAGAAATTCCAGATGAGGAAGATGCAGTTGAGAAGGAAAAAGTTCTGGCCAAGAATGCTGAAAATGCCAAGAAGGCTGTGGAAGCTGATTTGGACCAGAAGTCTCCTGTGATCTATGCAAAACTGGACTACAAGGAGGGCCAGTGGAGCCCAGAAAATCCCGACGGTCGCAAAGTTTACGATCGTGGTTTTCTCCTAGCTCTTCAAGAAGTTCCCATCAGCCTCAAGAAGCCTGAGGGTCTTCCCAACTTGGATGTGATTAAGGACCGAGCTGCCCCACATGCCAAGGTTTGGAATAGCTTGACAAAAATCTCCTTGTGTTGGATGTTCCCTGGAGTGAAAATTTTCCTTCATCATTGTAGCAATTGATGGCGAAATCACCTCGACAGGGGCAGTTCAACACATTCAGTGGCAACAAATTTGATATGGACTTCACTCCTGTTTACCTCAAGTCTCCTGCAAATAGAGGGGTATGCTGGTTGCCTGTGGCTTTTATTTTAACAAAGGACTTTCCAATTTTTAGGCTTTTTTTTAAATTCAAAGTATGAACAGACTTGAGAATAATATCTTAACATTCTGTATACCTTGCGTCTGCTATTTTAAGCTTTCCTCAAACTTCTGGTCAGGCTGTGTAGCAGGATCTCTGTATTTGGGGAAAAACCTAAAACTAGAAAGAAGGTAATTATCTCCTAACCTGTCATGTTACTTTGCCATTTCTCATTTGTTTTGCAATAACAAGGGAAAAAAAGGAACTAAGGCAATTTATTTTGGAGTATTGACCCCTTAGTTTGTGGGTGTATCATTGAATTTGAGCATTGTCATGAACTGCCATTTAAGAGCCAGTAACATTCCATAGCTGGATGGCTTGGTTCCTTGGTGTAGTATCATTTAGTGAAGAAGCCATCTGCATAAGGCTGCTCCTTACCAGGCACATTGCATTGGCCCTCTCTAACTCAGCAGAATGCAGGCAACACAATCTCAGTGAAAGTTTTTTTTTGTGCCACTTGTGTTATGGTTCTAGTTGCAAATTGAATAATTGATTTTTGAAGTTTTCCATCAAACTAAATTACTCTATATTTCAGTGTTCGGTCAGCTTAGTGTTAGTAGGATAGTAGGGTTAGTAGGAGCAGGCACCACTATCTTTACTTTATCTTTTTTTTCGAATTACCTTGCAGGCTGTACTTGAAGCACTTCTGATTTGAAGACCTTTTTTTTTTCAATATTCTCTCCTGACAAATGATTTTTTCATAAATTTCTTTTTTTTACATATGGTGTGTCATTGGCAATGAACATGTCAAGTAAGATTGGGGCAAGTGATGATTATGAAGTCACCAGATCTGAAATCTTGAAGTGAAGATTCCAATCATGGAATTCCTCGTTGCTGAATGCCAATAGAAATAGAAAAAAAAAATCTAGAGAAAGGATGATTTGCTGAATGTGTGATGCTGTATGAAGAAATTTAATTTACAGCAACAGGGATTGCTTAAGGGCCGAGGAAGCATTGGACGTGGGACTAAGGCTCCACCAAAAGTGATAGACATCAAGCTCTCATTGAGTGAAAAGGTCGAACTGCATGCAGCTGAGAATGCATGGAAACCTAAGTTGAAGAGGCCAGCAGTTGAAGTAAATGAACCAGCAAAAGAAGTGAGTATACCTGCTCTTAATATCTCTTAAGACTTTTTGCTTTTTTTCTTGTAACCGAGCAATTGCATTTGCTTCTGATCTAGGACCTCGCCAAGAAGGTTAGAGGGATCCTGAACAAACTCACCCCTGAAAAATTTGAGACATTGGTGAACCAGGTCCGGGATCTCCCCATTGACACCAAGGATAAATTGGAAGGTGTCATTGATCTTGTCTTTGACAAGGTTTGTTTTCGCACAAGATGTCTTTCAAACTACTCACCCAGAAGAAAATTATGCCAGTAGTTCTCACAGTGTGCCTATGATTTTTCTGATACAGGCAGTGGATGAGCCCAACTTTGCAAATGCCTATGCAAGCATGTGCCAAACCCTGGCAAAGACAATTCAAGTGCCCCTGGAACCTACTCAAGGAACAACAACCCAAGCAAACCCAGGAGTTAATTTCCGCAAGGTCCTCCTTGTCAAGTGCCAGCAGGAATTTGAAGCTGAAAGTCATAGTGACAGTCTTAGGGAAAAGAGACAAGCTGAGATTGATGCTGCTGAAACTGTAAGCATGGATCTTTGCATGCTAGCCACAACTCAAAAATGTATAAAATTTTATTTTACATCTGTATTTATTCATCACTCAGGAGGAAAAGAAGAAAGAATTACAAGTGGATCTTGAAGAACAAGAAAGGTTGATTCGTCGAAGATACCTTGGCATTATTAGGTATGATTAGGTTTTGTGTATTCTTTTTAACTGCAAAATGAATACTAATGATACTAGAATGTTATCCCTGTCTGAAATTACGAAGTGGAAAGCTTTATCAAGACTGATGACTTGATCAGTATTTTCATCACATAGAGGATGCTTGTATGAGATTCGTTATTGATGGTTGCCTGCATTCAAATAGGTTCATTGGAGAATTGTTCAAGCTTGGGATGCTGACAGTGAAGATCATGCATGAGTGCGTGCAGCGGCTTTTCTCTGGGTGGGCCAAGAGTCATGATGAAGATTCTCTTGAGTGCCTGTGCAAGCTGCTCTCAACAATTGGGAAGCAGATGGAAGATTCAGGCATGGCAATGAAAGGTGGATCTTCCAGTGTCAATTCTGACATGCACCGTGACCAGATGAACTCCTACTTCAAGACAATTGACAAGATAGTGAAGGGGCGATCGACAAGTAGTCGGGTGAGGTTCATGTTGCAAGATGTGATTGAGCTGCGTGAGAATGGGTGGCGACCACGTCGAGAGGACAACAATCCAAAGCGCATTGATCAGATTAGACAAGAAGCAAAGTTAGAGGAGCTCCAGAAGACTGTGGAGCTTTCTCAGCAGGGACCAATACCAAGGAAACGCCCTGATGACATGAGGAGATCTAGTGAGTCTATCTTTTCATGTATTTTCTTTCTCAACAAATGTCCCTCGTTGCAACGAAGCATTCCTTACTACTACTCCTCAGAAGGCAGAATATTATTTTTAATTACTTGGTAGTTTGCCAGAAGCAGAATGGGAAGGATAAAACAAGCTTATTTTCAATTTATTTTTTATGTCTGTACATTGACATGGTTTTTGACAGTTGCTCAAATTGAAACCCTAAACTATAATCTCAAATGTTTTTTATTCCATCAATATTTTATTCTTGCCTCCAATTTCCCTTGATGCCTCCATTGAAGTCTTCCTTGTTGCATGAATTCTTTGCCAAGTGTGAGACTGGTGTGAATGTTCTTACACATTTGAAATACTTTTTTCTTAATCTTTCTGTTTCTTCAAAGGCCAAGAAAGCATGCAATGTGGAGCCCTAAATTTTTTATCCTCAACCATTTTTAAAGAAAATTTTGAGACAACCAGGGGTGTTCTGGTTCTTAGGGTTGAGATTGACATCAGTTTAAAGGCTCTTGAGGTGTTATAGCTTGATTGAGTCCTTGGCCTAGGGTTGGGTTCTCATTATATTTCAGAAAAATTACTTTTTAATTTTTTTGGCAGCTGAATGAATTGTATGGTCATTGGACATTAGCTTTTCCCCTCCCTGCTATTGGTCATGCCAAATTTAGGACACCTGTTTACCTGACTCTGGCCCTTTATCTTTGTCTTGTGTAGCACCTATGCAGTATGCCATGAATAAAATGGAATTTCTTTCTACAATCAGGATATGGGAGCACTCCAGCCATACTTTTTTTTTTTCTAACTTGGGACCCAAAGTACTTTTCTTCTGCTTAAATTTGATGTCCCAATTTATTTTCATTTGTCATGTACATTATATATTGACATCAGTTAGAGAAGTAAACATCCAGGACAATTTCACTTGTATTTGGCTGGCTTGTTTAGTTTCCATTCACCCCAATACCAGTGGTGAGTTCAATTTCGAGTTTGGCATTAAGGAAATGGCTTGGTGAGGTAAAAGCAAAAAATGAAGCTAATCCCCAAGTTGTATGTTGAGTGAGTTTCCATCAACTACCCTCCTCCCATTCACATGAGTTTTATTCTTTGGGATACCCTGGAAATGTCTTTGTATAGGCTTATCAGTGCTGAAGCTGTATTATTGGACATAGGGAGGGTGGAGTGAAGTGGTAGAAGTTGGATTTTGGAACAGATTTTGTAGGGCTGGTTTATGATGATATCCCATTTCACCAGACAAAGCCTTTATGGTGGGTTCAAGCTCAACAGGGCTGAAACTATGAGAGATAAAAAAGTTAATTAATTTGAAGGAAGTTCTTTTTTTTCCCAGAATCATGACTAAATTTTCTGCAGGAGGCTTGGAGGATAGTGGATGGAGTACTGTTGGGAAATCAAAACCCTTCCAGAAGGAAGTTGATACAAAACGCATAACCAATCTTGTCAAAGGGGTAAGTAACAACTATTCACCTGATGATGATGGTGATGATGAATGAAATTCATTCCAATTTTTTTGCAGTCACAGATGGAGGATATCCGGTTAGGACCAGGTATTATGACCTGGAGCCATGGGAGCCGTGGTGGACTTCGCCCAGGCATGTCAGCCCTGACTCCAGGAGCCGATAATGCAGAAGTGCGACCCATGGTGCCCATGTCAATGGCTGGAGCAGCTCCTTCTAACCCAAACCGTTTTTCAGCTCTCTCTACGTCTCCTGAAGCACCCCCCCTCATGGACAAGCGTTCTTTTGCTGCACCTGGGTATGCCTTGATCACGTTCACTACTACCACTTTCCCCCTTCCCCCCAAGATTTTAATTGGACAGTTAGGTTTACTTGTGCTGTGATACACTATACTGCTGAATGTTTTAGTCTCTGAAAGGATTTCTTCATATTGTTGCTTTGTGTAGCTGGAACTAGTGAATACTAAATTACATTATTGACATGGATGAAGCAGAATTTTGTTACTAGTAGATGCAAAGAGTCTGATTGATAGGTCAATTTTGTTTAGTCCTCTTTAACACTTTCGCTGCCATATGACCCACCGGCGGGTCGTACAGGTCCTTTCTACCAGATCATATGACCTGCCGACAGGTGGTTTGCATTGCTTTGCATGATACGATCTATTGAGCTCTTCCTTTCATCTTACTAATTTTATCGTCACCTTCTGATGAGGTCAGTTTTAAATCAAATTGGCAGTGTTTCATTTCTCATTTCTTTTTTTACAATGTATTCAATATAAGTATATCTCCATATAAGGGTAAAGTGGAAATTACTTTTTCCTCATTTCCGCGTATAGGGCATATTACGGGAGTCTTTATATATAGTATGTACGTGGACATATCAAGAAGGTCCAGAACCGGTTTTCATATGAGCAAACTATTCTGAAACTCTGTTTCAGAATGATCCCTTTGGAATGCATGGATGACAAGAAAAGAATGCAACTTGAAAGTTTTCTATAGAATCCATGCCTTGTAATTGATTAGTCTGAAAATTTAATGGAATGTTGGCTACAATGTTTTCCTAGAGCTCTTGAAATTATATGAATTTATGGATACCCATTCATGAGTTACGGCATATTTTGTTGAGATGGCAAAGAAAGGGCATGCGACTGCCATTGCGAGGCACGGATCCAAATTGCATGAGGATCCCTGAAAATGCATGCAGATGCATGAACTTTTTATGGATGAGTACACATTTTTGACAAAGTTCTATTAATTTTTTTGCAAGGATCATCCCAGAGGAACTGATCCATTAGGCAAAAATCAAATGCAGATTCATACCTCCCCATTGGAAGTCACATGCCTGTTCACTCAGAAAATTTGACCAATTCGATTAAATCTGTCATGAATCAAGAGTAGATGGGCAAGGGTGCATATACTGTACTTCAACAGCTCTTGAAGAACCTCGTCAACAAGGTATCCTTACATTTTCACATCAATTCGCTGAAGAATTTATATGTATAAAAAAATGTTCAAGTTGCTTAATTTTTTCCAGTCAACTCTCTATCTCTAGTTCAACCTGACTTGCAACACACATTTCCTTTTGTTTGTAAAGAGCTTAGAACAGACTGTAACCCATTCTTGGCAAATTTGTCCAATGTGTTGGTTGCAAGTTGATTGGCAAGCACCTATGTTGTCAAAGCGGCAGCCATTCATCGTAGGCACAGCATTTTTGGAATCGGCCTGAAATCGTAAGGTTCGAGGTCCAAGGAATACAAAGAATGTGGGAGCAATGGCACTCCAAGATTGGTTAGAAATTCAACAGTACGACATAGGTATTGTTTGATAGCCAACAGTCATTGCAGACAAGCTCAGTTTCGTCATTACGGCTTGTCGATTGCCGCCCCATGCGTTCATCATCTCCAGTGGATCCCCACCTTTCACTGAATCGCTTGTGTCATGCACACCAGGAGGATTACTTTGGCCTCAGGGGAATGGCCTCCAAATAATGGCTTGGCAGCGAAAGTGTTAAAGAGGTCTTCCATAAACTTCTGCAGAAGGATAAAATGTGGTCTTGAACAAATAGGTATACATTCATAATTTAGAAACCCTTATTTTTCAATGCCTTGAATAGTTTGATTTCTGGTTTATGTAATTTTCTTTATTTTTTTTATACCTATTTGTTTGATACTATTGCTTTTTCCAAGCAATGAGTCAGAAGTCCTTTTTTGCATCATTTTGAGGTCAGGAATCACATTTTGGGAATCCTCTAGTTTTCCTTTCATGAAATCTTGTATATTTCATATAAAAAATGGCATTTCTGCCATACTTGTACAACCATGTTATGACAATAAATGTGCCCCATATTTTTTATTGTATTCTGTGAATGCAATTGCAGTTGGTTTTCCTGAGCTGCTTGCTTCTCTATCTTACAGATGAATAGCTCTTGCCTTATTGTATTTATTGTATTTCCATTGCAGTCGGTCAGCATCTCAGGGCAGAGAAGGACCTTTGTCTGTCCCCACACGAATGGAGAAGGCCTTGGATGATAAGGCCAAGGCTCTACGGGCAGTTCAGCAACAGTTTGCCAAACCTCGTGAGTTTCTACATTTCTAATCATTAAATTTCTCATTTTCCCCTGAGGGTGTGAAACTGACTCCTAATGTTCATGAAAATTGTGTTGCAGCAGAATCTTTGCGCCCCTCCCGTAGTCAGGGCTCCTCACAAGAGAGCTCCCGGACAAGGGAAGGTAGTGGGACTCGAGGTCCATTTCAGACCCCAGCAGCCCAGGCACGGATAGCCGCCCCAAGTGCTCCTCCTGAGATTGCACTTATGGGTAAAGATACCCTCTCAGAGGAACAACAGGCTAGTCTGGAAGAGCGGGCCATAGCTCTGATTGACCAATACCTTCATGACTGTGATGAAACTGTGAGTTACCTTTTTTTACCCTGCACACTGCCCTGTAATGTTCTCACTGGTTTCTACAAGTCATTGCATCACTATTCTTAGTGAGTTTCAGTTAGCTTCTCTCATGAGCTATGGACATGATGAAAATCTTTGTTTTCCCAGACTAGAGTCTCTGATAAAATATCATGATGTTTTTCATTACTCTGACTATGCTTTAGTAAAATTCCATTGCCCCCTATGTGATAATTTAGTTTGTTTCTAACAAGAAGCATCTGTCTTTGTTTCATGTATTGGGATCTGCCTTGCTGGTCTCCTTTCTGTGTACGTGTGGTTGTTGATGTGAACTTGGCAAGCAGGAAGTGAAAAGTTGGGTGATAAAAGAATTCCATGAAAGGACAATTCACCTGTTTGTGAAGACGGCTATTAACCGAATCTTGGAGCGGAGCACAGAAAGTCGCCACCTTGTTGGCGGATTGCTCAGTCATCTAGTCAAGTGGAAGGTCGTCTCTGTTGACCTGTATGTGAAGGGCCTCAGGGAAATCCTTGAAGTCTCAGACGATCTGTCTATTGATGTTGGAAAATATTTCTGGGACTATTTGGGAGAAATAATTGGTGAGTACAGCTATATGGTGTCATTTTGTAACCTGGTAGTGTGCAGAGAGAATGCCTATGAACATGATGATATGTATATGGAAATACTGGATGTGATATGCAGTGAGCCTTTGAGTCAAAAGGATGCTGATTATTTATTTGAAACATATTTAGTTAGCAGGAAATTGGTGTTTTTAAGGAAACTTAAATATGTCTGAAATGAATGTCTCACAGGTCCCATGTTCCATGATGGGTGCTTAAATATGAGCTTCCTAAAGCAGGCAAGTGAGCCTTGCATATCTGCTGGCAAAGGAGGCGAACTCCTGTCCGGTGTATTGCGTTCCCTCTCCAAGAACTCTGTGAGTGTCCTGTGCTAATGTGGTGATAATTCAAGAGATTTTCAGGTCATTAAATAGTTACCCATTTATTTGACAGGGCCATGCAATAGCTAGGAAGAGATGGAAAGAGTCTCAACTGGATCTGAGGGATTTCCTTCCTGAGAATGAGTCCGTTTCAGACTACATAAAGAGCCACGTAAGTCAACTGTACATCTGTATGCCATATCAATGTAACTATGTAAGATATTTTAATGATGAAATTTGTTTTTGTGAGGTTCCTGGTGATCACAATCAAGTCAAAAGGATACTTATTCTCACAGTGAATCGAATATGAAGGATATTATTGTGGTATTCTTATTTCTTGTGTTCTGCTCTTATGTGCAGAACTTGGCCTTCCTGGAAGAGGACAAAGATGACGTTCTGCCCTTGGACAAGATCTTTGAACAGCTGGATAAGATGCTTAAGGAAGGGGCCTCAAATGAAGAAGTTTTTGATTGGATAGATGTGAGATTTGGCTATGCTTCATCGAGGCTTCCTTCAATAGGACTACATTGTCAGTATCTAATCTATTCTTGCAAATTTTCACAGAGGCATTTGGAGAAGAAAGATATGGAAGATCATGCATTCATCCGTGCCTTGATGACCTCCATTGCAGAAAGTGCAATTCAAAGTCAGTACCTCTATCTGGTTTATTCTCCATATTCAGTGTTGCTTATGGTGGCTAAGGAATTATATTAATGATTGCAGAAGAGGACGGGACATGTAAGCTTTTGGAAGAGCAGCTGCGGACAAGGAGGACACTGTTGCACCGCTTCTTGGACACCAAGGAAGAATTAGAAATTCAGAGTCTCTATGCCCTGCAAAGGCTTATGGTCAAACTCAACCATCCCCAGAGTGAGCCAGAATTCTGGTGTTTCTGACTTGTCTCTAACCAGATCATTCTTTGGAATCTGATTTTCTTTATAGAACTTCTTCATGCCTTCTTTGAAATCTTGGTGGACGTGATAAGTGAAGAGGCCTTCTTGAAGTGGGAAAATTCTGATGATCCCAAGGAGCTAGAGGGCAAGGGTGTTGTGCTCAAGTCTGTGACTCAGTTCCTCACCTGGCTCAAAGAGGCTGAATATGATGAAGATGAGGCTGAGGACTCAACCAGTGCTGCTTCTTCCTCTGATGCTGCTGCCACCGCCATTCATCAGCATCCTCCGTCCTCATAATGATGAGAAAGGAAAAAAAAAGGAAAAAACCATGATCATCATCTCTCCCCTTCAATGTCCTTCCAGTTCCTGCCGACGAAGATACATTGATTCTCCTCTGCCCTCACTTACTCTGTCTTGCTGTAGATGGTTTTTGGTATGGTTTTGGTTAGGAAAGAAACTTGCTGGGAGGGGGGAGGTGAACAGTGAAAGTTATGATGTTGTGACTGGGGGGAGGAGGCTTGATATACGATCTTGTTCATAATGTAATGTGTTATATTATGATAAGGGTTTATGAAGATGATGGTCATGATACTGTTGCTGATAGAAACACACCCCAATGAGCACAGGAAGAAATTGCTTGGTTCTGCTGCTGCTCCTCATGCTGTTCGTTGCTGATGGGCAAATTTCCTTTTTTCCCATCCCATATCATCCCTCATTTTTGTTCATTTTCTTTTGTTGTTGCCATGTTGTTCTTTGGACTTTTTTTTGGGGAGGAGTCTAATTGATCCATGCCTGCCTGCTATCGCTCATCAACATTGTTGAACTGATTTTTTCAAGACTACTATGCATCAGGAGGGGAGAAAATGAGGACTTGCATGGTCTTTCCCCTTCCAGAGAAGAAAGTATGTAACCCTTGTTTTGGGGGGGAGGCATGCTTCCGTGACAAGGGAGCAAACAATGATTCTTGCTTCTCCTCTACTTCCCTATGCTCTTCAAGAGGACGATGTTGTCCCAAGGAGACTTTCTGCTCCTTGCAAGAAAACCATGGAAGTGCGGACCTGTGGCTCCTATTATCGAATTTTCTTGATTCATGCTGATGAATATTATGAGAAGGGAAGAAAGCATTATAAAAGCTCCAATAAATCGCAAAGTTGTACAACTGTTTCTTTTCTGTACCAGCAAATGTGTTGGGAAATGGCTTCATTATGTGTACTGGAATATTCCATCTCCAAGATAACTTATTCATTAGTGGCCCTCGATGGAGGAGGATGAATTGGGCTGTCAGCAGTTTGCTGTCCTTGTATACATGTTCTCTTTCACCTTGTGTAAAAGTGGACTTGGCTTTTCATTGAACCGTCAAATTGTACCATGGGGCTTAGTGGATAATTGAGCGTTATGGACATTTAGAGGGGTTGGGAGGAGGGGGGAGGCAAGGCAAAGGTTGCAATCTGGGTCCTACAGATTTTTCTTGCGTTAGGCGATGATTCTCTGTGGTTTCTCCACTTCCCTCGTGCAGGTAGGGAAAGGGGTAAATTTAATTTAAAAAATTGAGGTGATCTTTACTGCGGTGCAAGTGCCTTCAAGTAAATAATATAGAGCACAATATCCTATTCACCTGAAACTTTCCACCCGCACAAAACGTGTTCATTTTATCAGTATCAGAATTTGTGGTTGAATTGATGTCTTGTTCTCGTAGGGATCGAAAAAAAGAAACCAGTTCACCCTCGACCCAATACTGCTGGGAAGATTTGTATGAGGTACTGGGGTTTTTATAATAGAAAACAATTTGCAAGAGAGCCATATTCTCGGGATGTTTGTTTCTGGTGCTATTCAAAAAGAATACGTTCTCGTCTCATTCTTATGAGTAATGCTGACATTCATGAAACTTCTCAGCTATTACAATGAACTAGCCAATGGCTAACTAGCAACGTGGTTTTCACGCTGGCATGTATGAAGGCACGAGAACTATCTGCAAACTTCCTTCTCCATGCTGTTGTTTTCGCTCTAATAGGAAGTTTGAACATTATTGGAGGTATTGCCAAAACATTGAAAACACCCTAAGTGGCAGTCACGCTAAATTCTATCACGAAACAAACTAGTTCGAGGTTTCCGAAATGTAATTTTAGGAAAGGTTTTGGACCCAGCATCATGGAGAGTGGAGTGGTCGACGACCAAATGTTACCAGTGAAATGATCTAGGTGCTCATTGAGGAAGTAGAGTGACAGAGGAACGTTTGGGTGGGGAAATTGAAGGAAAGGACCAACCCTTCGGCAGCACATAGTAGCCTCGTTCAGGGACGGCCTAGTTTGCCTAGCAAGCCGGGAAATATCCAGGAATTGAAAGTGCCTTAACACCGTTGCCATCCCCGCGACTCGGAGTCGGGCAAAAACCGGACCAGCAATTGGTGGGTTTATTTTTTCAGGAGACCTGGAAATTGGTTCTGCCTGAACCTCCATTTCATGGCCTAGTATTCCTGCCTTATAAATAAAAAAATGTTCCAGAGTGAAGAGACTGAAACTGATTCCCGGAGCTTTTGGCAGGACAGAACATGAACACTACGAACTAGGACATTCACACGATCACTCCAGTCAGCGACCATATTTCTACGGTTTATGTTAAAGCAGTACTAGAGTAGGGTGACCAGGGTAGGATTCCGGTTTTTCAGGCTCTGTCCCGGTTTGGAAACTGTCCCGGTTTTCGACAATACTGCACCTGTGCCTCTTCCCCCCCCCCCCCCCCCCCCCCCCCCCCCCCTCCCCTTATATTTTTGCTTGAAAGCAAGAACATCACTGCTTCCATACCACGGTTCATAGCTAAGAAGATTCCCATTTCTGTGTGCTTTGATTATGACAAACTCTTTGATGAAGTCACCTATTTATTTGCTTTTGTTAGGAGAGAAATTGACGCATGAAAAGCTCAAGAAAAAGAAGTTGAAATGGAAAGAGGCATTTTGCCATTTTGAAACCAAAAATATTTATCATGAGAATTTGAGAAGCATTGCTGCTGTTGCTCTTTACCTTAGAGGGACCGATGCACCAGTGGAACGAGTTTTCTCAGCAATGAATTTCATGTGGAGCGACGAGAAATCTCAGTTGATGCCAAAAAACAGTTGTCTTGCTCTTCGTGAAAGTAGATTTTGGTCTCAGTATTGCTCTCATTTTCCTCGTTCATTGCTCGAAATTCCGCGAACCGATCATGACGATTTCATTATGGTCGGAATGTTTCTTAGTTCCCCTTGATTTAGGATATAATACATGACGACTCGTGTTGGAGTTTCGATAGGGCGATCGTCCCGTCCGCTACCTCTCCACCGCTCTTTCTTTTTTAATGGTGCATTACTAGTATTTATTATGCCATGTTTGGGAGCAGTAACATTCAAGGTGAACAAGGGAGAACAGTAACAGTTTCAATGAATATTAATGAACCTAATGAAGAGTTTCAAGTCAAAACAACAGGAAAGATCATATGGTATCAGGCGTCATCGTGGATCCAGGGAAGAGGAAGCATGGAAGTTGCATAAAGTTTCAAGATTTCTCCCAGGAAATTTGGTGGAAATTTTGTGCAGAGTGTCGAATAGTGTTCTACACTATGTGTAGAGTATCGAATCTAGGACATTATCGTCCCGGACTTGATGGCCTCTAATAGGACAAAATGGTTCCTACCGTTGAAAAGTTCTGACAGCCTATCAAAAGTAATTTAAGACTAATATGACTGCATCACCTACCAATGATAACTTTCTAAAAATAAGTTTTCTTTTAAATATTAACTAAGACGTTGTAAGTTCCTGAAAGTGAAGGCCAATGCCTCAGGAAAACAATTATTTATACATTTCCGGACTTCGGAGCTACCGTTATTGCTCAACGTTTGTAAAGCATGAAACTTTTTTAAAAATCTTATTTCCCTCCTCATTCACCTTCTCCTGCCTTCCGTTCCGCTTTCCATGGCTTACTTACTTTTTTTATTACTTCTCCCTAACCTACTCTCCTATTTCTCGACCAGCATGTTCCTTCACCCGGTACCCCACCTCCTTCCATCCCTCCGCACGCCCTCCCCTCCCCACCCTTTGTCAACTCTGTCAATTTTTGGCCGTAGAGTGTCTTTGGAACTTTGGAACCTAACCTATTCTACAACGGGGTGATTTCGACTGATAGGGTGCATCAAGGGACGACTGTGACAGCAGCCTACTACAGAAATTTTCTCAAAAACACTTTATGGTCAAAAATTCGCACTAACAGAACTGACGTGCTTGTGATCGGCGTTCTCATCCTGCACGACAACACGAGGCCGCACAAGGCAGCTACTGTATGATACTCTGACAGTGGTCGGCAACTGGCGGCCCGCAGGAGCTCTTCCTCTGGCCCACGAAGACCCGGCTATCTCACATTATGGTCTGACAATCGCCGTTCGGCTGGACGTTTGACATTAGACATTCATCAAAATTAAAACTTTAATGAAACTTGGGTGTTGGCCCGCGAACGTGCAGCATTTTGTCATCCGGCCCCCAGTGAAATTCAGTTGCCGACCACTGCTCTATGATATGAAATAGATAATTAGAAAAGTAATGAATAAACGTTCGTAAGCGCAGCAAATGTACGAATGCGATTCATTATGGCTTTACTTCACAAGTTCATTGTTATGTCTCATGCACAGCCATCCTATGAAAGAGTTAACACAGGACTACAGAAAATTCATGGAACTTTAGGTAAGGGAAGATCGAAGCTCGGGCCCGTTGCACTCGAGGCAAGTTTTTGGAGAAAAAGAATTCAAGAGAATGTTGGCTCACCTTGTACATCCCTGCTTTTTTAACTTCTGCTTCCGAGAGAATGACAAGATCGAAGTCAAGGCAGTGCCAAGTGAGGCAGTGAGCCAAGGTTAGACCAGGATCATTAGACGCGTGTGGTCTCCGGACTTCCGTCGAACGGTAGAGATACTGCTCCAAGCTCCCATCCCTGACTTTTTGGCTAGGATAACAACCGAGAAAGCATTGTTACATGCGATCTTTCTATCCCATGAAATTCAAGCCTGATAATGACTTGGCGAGTCCCATCCCCCCATAGCAGTCTGGCCTTCTAAGGAGATCTTCCTCAAATTTACCAGATTCGGTAAACTTCATTACATCTTCCGATTGTATTACGCACCTCAGAGTATTTGTCACATTTTCTTCATTCTAAACTCTGACTTTGTGTCCCCCATAACCGTTTATCCATTCCATTTCGAGAAGGTAAAATTGTAATCACATTGCCTAACAGGCCAATTTTAACAACCCGAGCCGTTCCCACAGCTCAAAGAACTGAGTTAATCTACACGCAATGTCGATTCGGCGAGAGGAAAACCAAATTCCACTACGTTTCAATGGTATGCAGAAATCACCACCTGCGACAGAGGCATCAGGACAAACCAGAAATTTTCGCTGCGTCACCCATTGCCAAAATCGAGTTCGTCTGCACACGATGTCGAATGGGCAAAAGAAAAATCATATTCCACTAGGCTTCAGATGTATACTGAAATCGCCACCTACGACGACAATATCCCTACTGGAAATTTTTATTTCCATCACCCATGGCAAAAACTGAATTCATCTGCACCCGATGCCGATTCGGCAAGAGAAAAATCATATTCCACCACGTTTCAAGCGAATTTAGAAAATGCCACCTGCGACAAAGGTAGCAATTCTACCAAGGAAAACGTCCCAATAGTCACACATGGCAAAAACTGAATTCATCTGCACCCGATGCCGATTCGGCAAGAGAAAAATCATATTTCACTACGTTACAAATGAATACAAAAATCGCCACCTGCAACAAAAGTTATCAGATCCAAACGGAAAATTTTCTACGCGTCACCCATAGCCAAAAACCACTTTTATCATCATAAGATGTCGATTTGGCGAGAGAAAATCCATATTCCACAACGTTACACATATCTAAGCGTATATATAAACGATGGTGACTGACTGTCAGACGCTAATTCTAACCATGTTCTAGACATGATGAGAGGCTGAAACTTGGTACACAAATAGCTGTTAGATTGCTGACTCCAGAA